TCGGCTCCTGGGCCCGCGGGCGGCCGTGCGGAGCAGCGGCGCGAGGCAAGCAACAGCCCAGAAGAGAAAAAAACCACAAATGGACCAAAACGGAACGAGCGAATCGTACTCGCCTGTAATGTACGGGACCTTGCAGTTCATCCCAAAAATTGATATGATAAGATTGATGGGAAGGCAAGCCGCCGCGACCTGATTCAGGAGAGCCATTTTAAAGTCTAGACCCGCCGATGCCTGCCCCATCCGCGTCGACACGCCCGTCACAAAGTTCAAGTTCGCCTGATTGAGCATGTCACGTGCGTCGTCGAGCCGTTCCGATACCTGCCTAACCTTCTCAAGCGTTTCCTTGTAAGCGAGCACGGTTTTCGACTCCCTAGCTATGAATGATGTTCGCATCGTCGGTGCAATGAGCTCTTGGAGTAACTTCTCCTTCAAATAAAGTCCAGTGCGAAAGTTCGATATACGGCGACGGAGAAGCGCTACTCGGCGAAGAAGATCGGCCTGATCCTGCCGTCCCGGAGCAATCAGGAGCACCATCTCATCAATGTCACCAACCTCGCTAAGAAGCGAGGTGGGGTCCGGAAGAAATGCTTCACAGGCAAAACAAACCAGCGTACAAAGGATAGCGGGGCTTGCCATGTTTTGGAGCANCGAATCCGAGGCAGCAGCTGTGTCTACCAATTTCTCGTCCATGGAGGGATCCTCGGCATCACTCGCGGCACGACCGCCCTCTACTTCCACGTGGCGAAGAAGTTCAGCGAGCCCAACAAAAGGGGCAGCGTGGAGAGTCACCAGCACCTGGTCTTCGCACGCAAAGGAGCAAAGGATGGCGTCCAATTCCATTTCGTCCCCCGCCGCGGAAGGTGCAGACAATGTGCGGCCACGGCTGCTAGCGCAAGCAAGAGTGCCTACAAGACACCCTCCCTTCGCACACTGCAGCTCCACCACGTCGTACGCGTCGGGAGCAAGCACGGCTTCCATCTGGCTTGGGTGGGCCTTGGGAAAGAGGAATTGGAGAACAGGCTTGGCCTGTTCCCCAGAACAGCCCTGGAGGTCTACCCACATGCACGCTCCCTCGGGGAGCGACTCCTTGCACAGATTGTTTGTCCGCACGTACGCCACTACCTCGTCGGGGTGCGAAAGGGCGACAGTGGTAGCAGGAACACCAGGTGCCTTGTAGAATATTAGACAGCGCTGCCTCGCCTGCACCACTCCCATAGCGGCCGCACCCGTCGGCTCAGCGTCCACCGCGAGAACAGGAACGCCTTTCCCCTCACGCATATTTTAGGTGTGATTTCTTTTTTTCGTTGTGCCTGTGTGGTGTTCTCTTCGTTTTTTTTAACGAGAGTCTCCTGGATTCACCCTGAAGAAATAGGACTCTTCGTTACTGCACTCTGGCGAAGAAAGGCTTCGTGGTGAACCTTTCTTGCTGTAGTGTTTTTTTTTCTTAATTTTGAAAGTACGACCAAACCCAAAACAAAAGGAACACGACGGGATTAATAGTGTTTATAATTTTCTTTTTCTTCTTAAATTGTTCCCCGATTGGCAAGCGTTCTTACTCTTTTGTGTTGGGTTGCACGAGTGCTTAGCTTCGAGATGAGTTTTGCTACGCCAGAGGGGCGTCGCAACTAAGAGACAAGTGGGGGATGCGAACACAAACACAAGAATAAAAGGAAGCGTGAAGAAGCCGCAGCGCGGAGGAGCAGAGGTGAGTGCATACAGCCACCGAACCCACATTCCGCCGCACACACAAGAAACAGCAAGGGAAAAACAGCCCAAGCCGCCGGTGCGGGGAGAAGGAAAGAGAAGAAGCCAAAAACACGTAAGCCGAGCCAAAGCGGCACTCGTTGCTGACGTGACTGGTTTGCATTTGTTTGCTGGATGTGTTTTGTGTAATTTCTTTTGTTGGGGGGACTATGCACTCTTTCGAGCCTCGCAAGTGCGAATTCTCGAAGAACTGGCTCGCCCAATAGATATGTATCCTCTCTTCTTACTCGTCTGGTGCGGCGTGCGGCATTTTAAATACACCCCACCCCCACCCCCTTCACGATAGGGGCACCAGTTCGAAAACACATCTTCAGCAGGAGAACAATAAATTAAAAAGAAATTCACTTTTCGCCAAACGGCAGCCATTCAGGAACACACACACACACACACACATACGTTGTATGCTTGGCGGCGGCATACGCTGCGGCCACCGCCACTGCCCACACACACAAAGAGGCCCCAGTCAATGTGATCAAGGCCCCCTTCGCACCCAAAGAAGCCGCCTGCCCACATGATGCGGCTGCCTCATTCAGATTATTACGCCTCTTCTCGTTGAAAAAAGTACGTGTGAATTGGCACGACGAAGCATACCGCCATCCACACCAAGATGAGCCCTACGATACCCCAGAAGGCATTCAAGTTGTCATACTCATCGGCCTGCCACGGCACCCTGCAATTCATTCCAAACATAGAAGCAAGAAGATTCGCCGGGAGGCAAACCGTCGCAATTTGGCTCAGGAAAGTCATCATCCAATCCAGCCTGGCGGAAGACTGCGACATACGCATGGACACAGCGTTCATAAAGTTTAGGTTCGCATGATTCAGCGTGTCACGCGCAATCTCCAGACGATCCAGCACCTGCGAAAGCTTTCCATGCGTCTCGCGGTACGCGCACACCACGCACGGGTCACGCGACACAAAGGTGGTGCGCATCGTGGGCCCCACCAACTCATGCAGCAACTTCTCCTTTATGTACAGCTGGCGATTCGACGCCGCAATACGGCGACGCAGCACCGAGACACGACGCAGGAGGTCAGTCTGATCGCGCCTCCCAGGCTCCACCAGCATCACCATCTCATCGATGCAGTCAATCTCGCTGATCAGCGCGGTCGGGTCGGGGAGGTACGCCTCGCAGGTGAAGCACACCAGCGCACACAGCACAGCGGCGCCCATCACGGCAACACTATCCGTACTCCCCGACTCCCGGTGTGTTGTTGATGGCTCAGGGCCGGTGCGGCTGAACTCCGCCTCCACGTGATACTGCAGCTCGGCAAGGCCAACAAAGGGTGCCACGTGCATTGTTACAAGAAACCGCTCGTTGCACACAAAGGAGCAGAACACGGCGTCCCCTTCCCCATCCGCATCTAGCACACAGCCGCGCATGTCACGCGCACACGCAAGACATCCAACAATGTACTCACCCTTCACAGGCTGCAGCTCCACCGCGTCGTACGTCTCGGGATCGAGTACCACCTCGAGTTGGCCCGGCTGCATGTCGGGGAACAGCAACTGCAGGATTTTTCTCCGCTGCTCCACAGTGTGGCCCTGCAGGTCAACCCACATACATCCCCGGCTGTGGCCCCCCGCCATTTTGCGCACAAACGTCGCCGCCTCATCTGGCGAGCGAAACCTCTGCGTGCTCACGGCTGACTCCGGCGACTGGTGCACAACAACACAGCGCCGCATTCTTGGCTCCGCGGCATCTGCGCAGGCGGCACCACTCACCGCCTCGCCTCCCGCACGCGCTGTTTCACGGCCGCAGGCTCGCCCTGCAAGCATTGGCTGCACCTATGTATGCCTTCGCTCTTACGGTGAGAGGCAACAAAAACAGGCATGAGGAAGAAAAACAGGAAGCAAGCAAACATCGTGTCTTTCGTCCTTTTCCTCCCCCGTATTGAATCCATAATGCGCCCCTCTTCACGGATTACCCACACTGGGGTAACAACCAAAAAGCCATATTTGAGGGATAGTAATTCATTGCACGAGCCCCTGCCTTGATATACAAGACATAAATAAATAAATATATGATTCCAATTTTAGCGATATATCCGTGCCCGCTTGGCAGATAAGCCCATTCAGAAAGCCCCTCGCACGAAGAACAGCAAAACTTAGGGGAAAAAATAACACACTATTCTTTATCGGGGATTTTGTATTCCGTACAGGGTACTACCCCATTTCTCGGCCCTGCAAGGCCGTGTTTTATGTCCATATGTCTTGCAGGGTCGATCCTTTCTCTTCTCCCTTGGCTCATCTTGCGCGTGCGTCATCCTTGTCACCCTTTTACCGCCCTGCCAATGCTCACACCCCGCACGTTTTTTTTTAGTCTTCTTGTGTCTTGTTCTCCCATCACATCACGTCACATGGATCCCTTTCTGCTGGAGCAAGGCAACGTACAAAGGCATACCAGCAGCCCCGAGGCCCATATGATCCCAATACGGACCCCAGAAGGCATTCAAGTTGTCATACTCATCGGCCTGCCACGGCACCCTGCAATTCATTCCAAACATAGAAGCAAGAAGATTCACCGGAAGGCAAACCGTCGCAATTTGGCTCAGGAAAGTCATCATCCAATCCAGCCTGGCGGAAGACTGCGACATACGCATGGACACAGCGTTCATAAAGTTTAGGTTCGCATGATTCAGCGTGTCACGCGCAATCTCCAGACGATCCAGCACCTGCGAAAGCTTTCCATGCGTCTCGCGGTACGCGCACACCACGACGCACGGGTCACGCGACACAAAGGTGTGTCGAGGAACAGCAACTGCAGGGTTTTTCTCCGCCGCTCCACAGTGTGGTTCTCCGCCTTTTTGGCGCACAACAACGCAGCGCTGCGTCCTTGGCGATCGCGTAGGCACGCCCCGTTTCATCTGACGTCATTGTGGTGCTGCGCTTGTTGTTTAAAGCTGTGGCTTTGTTTGTTGCCGGCATCTCGGCAGTGCGGAATAGTTGAGTCGCGTTTTGTTGTTTTTTTTTTGGGGGGGAGGGTGCTTTTGGTTTTTATTGCTGCAGTGAGTGCGATGTGCAATCATCTCGCCTCTCCCTTCTTTCCGAGTACATTGCTGTTGTTGCGGATGCCGAATTACTCATTTCTGTGGCTGCGGCATAGATGGGCCAGGGACAAAGCAACTAAGCGCGTCTTTGGCAGTTCAGTCGAAGTGTTAAGAGCAGGTGGAAAGACGTGCATGACTGGCAAGTGCGGCCGTGTGAAACACAGAGGAAAGTCCGCCTTCGCTGGGGGGCGACAGAAAACACAAGCGTGAAGCCCACCAACACGCAGAGACAAGTGAGAGAGTGACGTCAAGAAAGAAAGAAATGGATAGAGGGATGGAAGGTGTGTGTGAGAGAGAGAAAGAGGCACAGCCGCAACGAGGGAAACAAGTAGATGGCGCTGGTGGCGACTAGGAGGCAGAAGCTGGAGGTGTGCGCGCTTCTCTGAGTGCACCCACCCTCCTCATTACCACCACTTCCCCCACCACACCACACCGCTGCTGCAGCACAGCACGGCCTCCTCACACTCCTTCCTTCGTGTTACCGCTCCCTTCTCACTCTCTCTGTCTCCCTCGCCCTCTCTCCAAGAGGGAATAAAAGCGCCTCACTTCAGACGACTGAAGAAACACAGCACCACCCACTCAGGGGAAAGGAAAGGGGACACCCGCTACTTGGACCCGTATGTGTTGCTCCACTCCACCAGCGCCGTCAGTTGCTTGGGGCAGCAGCTGGGGTGGCGTGCCTTCACGCAGGCCTCCACATCCTCCAAAGTGAGGGGCCGCAGCAGGTCGTGGTGGTACGCCTCCGCGGTCAAGTCTTCTCCGCTCCGAAGCTTCTCTGCGAGGAGCTCGCGAACAGGAATCATCGCCGCCTCCTCGCATAGCTGCCGCAGATCGTGTCCACTGTACCCCTCCGTGATGGCAACAATGCGCTGCCATGCATCGGGGGTGAAGTTGTTGGGCGTCTCCTCCGTGTTGAGCAAAGAGCGGAGTATCTGCTCCCGCGCGGGAGCGTCAGGCAGCGGCACCAGCACACGCTTCGGGAAGCGGCGAATGATCGCCTCATCAAGATCAAAAGGTCGATTTGTTGCGCCCATGACTAAGACGCGTGCCTCGTGTGTGTCATTGCCGGCGCCGTCCATCTGCACGAGGAACTCCGTCTTGATGCGACGCGAACCCTCGCCCTCGTGCTGACTGCCGCGCGCCTGTAGCAACGCGTCAATCTCGTCCACGAAGATTGTGCTGGGCGCGAGGGCACGCGCAACAGCAAATAGCGCCCGCACCATCTTCTCGCTTTCCCCAACCCACTTGCTGGTGATGGCGGCGGCGGAGATGCTGAAGAAGGTTGTGTTGCACTCCTTTGCCACGGCGTTGGCAAGCAGGGTCTTGCCGTTGCCAGGGGGACCAAATAGCAGAAGACCCGTGCACGGCCGTCTCAGACCCGTGAAGAGCTGTGGGCACTTCGCGGGGAGAATGATTGCCTCTTGGAGAATGCGCTTGCATACCTCGAGGCCGGCAATGCCGTTAAAGCTCACGGGACACGCACGGTCCACCACCTGCTGTAGTACGGTCACGCACGTCTCCTCGGGAATACCCTTGCAGTACGCACTCTTGCGCACACGCAGTAGAAGCGAATCAGAGCCAGTTGTGCGTGAAGAAGAAGCAACAGCACCACCACCACCACCACCACCACCACCACCAGCATTGGCAGACGACGACGAAGAGAGCTTCGCAAAACGCGAGCCCGGTGTGGTTGTCGCTCGACCAGCAGGCGCCGCCGTAGTCGACGTTGTATTAGTCGTCGAGGTGGAGGGCCGCGCGCTGGCGGACTCATGTGGGCGAGGTGGGAGCGGCGGCGGGGTGCCGAATGTCCCATCGCCTGCGAGGAGACCGCTTCCCGGCCGCCGAGCCGTTGCGTCACTGCGAGACTTCTTCAGCGGCCGCGGGTCACGGCGCTCTACCCGCGCGGCGGGCCCAGTTGTTGTGCACGTGGCCCCGTCCACGGGACCGGACTGCTGTCGGTGTTGTTTCTGTTCCTTTCCCTTCATGTTGGCCTTCCCTGCGTCCTTTACGCCGCCGCTGCCACTACTACTGCGGATCTGCGAGGGCACCGTGGGGCGACGCTGTGGGCCGCCCTTTGCGAAATCAAAGGTCATCTCAACGCCGTTCTTATTCTGCTTCGTGATGTCTGGCACCAAGGCAGTCTCTGCGCCGGTCTTCCCCTGCGGACAAATTCGGTTCGTTGACGACCGCAAGGAAAGAGACGGTGTCGCCGCAGCGGCGATGCCCTTGGCGTGAGGGTCCACACGGCCACCTCTGCTGCTAGTGATGCTCTTACTGTTGTGGTTGTTGCCATTGTTGCCGTTGCTGTCCTTGGGTCCATCAGAGAAGTATGTGTCCCACTCCGGCTTGGGCCGCTGGCGAAATGCCGCCCGCATCGGGTTCACAGTGTTGCCCTTCGACTCGGTTATTGCCGCACCTCCTGTCGCTTTGTGCGGCGGAGTGTCGTCGTCGAGCAACAGTGCCCGATGTGCCAATCGTGCCTGTAGTCGGGTGCCAAGAACAGCAACAGTCGCACCACCACCCTCTGTAGCAGCAGCAGCAGCAGCAGAAGCACTACATTTGGACGACAGCGGCCTTGGTTGCCGTGTAAGCAGCACCGCATTATCGGATTCATCCACCTCATTTCCCTGCGGATCCAACGTGACGCGCGAACGCTTCAAGAACTCTTCGGGAACTTCGTACGAGCGACGTCCACGCGCTGCTGATGCGGCGCCCAATAAGTTCATTACCTGCACATCCTCCAGACTGACGCGGCTCAGTGGTGGCTTCCCCTGAGTGCTCCACTCCTCTAGCATTTCAAGCAGCAACAGGCGGCCACCACCACCACCAGCAGTAGCAGTGGCATCAGGTGCTGTTGCGGCTTTCTTTCCGCAGCGGTAGTACTCTTCGACCTTGCGCCTTCCCGCACCCTTTAATACGACGAGGAAATCCGCCTCCTGCTCCTTTGTAGTCAGCACGCCGCCGATGGATGCAATCAAGTCGCGTGCACGCTTCAGGTCATTTCCCCGGCCAGTGAGTGCAAAGAGGGGTGCGGTAGTCATTCGTTTCTGTTATGTGTATATATATTTGGGTGTGTGTGTGTGTGTGTGTGTCTATGAGTGGGGACTCTCGTTGTGTCTGCCGCCTGCTCTGGGCCACCAATCTAGTCTAGTGTGATTTATTCCTTGGCGCTGTGCAAGCGTGACAGAGAAGTGGAAGCACCATTGACAAAAGGAAGGGGAAAAGCCAACTGGAGAATGAGAGGGAGGAGCAGAAGCAGCAGCAGCAGCAGCAACAGCAGCGCCCCCCACATAAAGCACCAAGGGCCCAAGAGTGGCACACAGACCCATATAGATATATATATATGAAGAGAGATAGAAATATGTATATATC